CATTCTTCCATTCGTCCAAAATATTGGCTCCCGCAAAACATGTGGATAGACCGCGATCATCTTGATACAGGTCAATGCGGCGAGAGCCACTCATGTCAGGCTTGGCGTGTAGTGGGCACCCACAGGGTGTCTAACACCACATTCTAAGCTGAGCCCCACACGATGCTGCAGCACGCACACAACAGAGAGGGGGGAGGACACTGCTACCCCCCTGCTCCGGATACAGGGCCAGGTCCCTCGCCGCGACACTCCTATGACCGCACCCCCCCCCAAGGGTCCCAGACGCTGGGTGTACCAACTGTGGTGGGTGGCAGGAAGGAAGCTTAGGGGCGCCTAAAACCGCTGCGACCTACCAAATATGGGCGACAAAACACGGGCGGCGATCGAACGGTCGACGACTCAGTCGATCTCGAACCCCCCGACCCGACCCCCCCCCGAGCATGAAGTCCTTGATGACCGCCCCCTTTTCATACGAGTCAATGCAGCCATCCGCACTGGTCGGCTAAGGCTGCATAAAGCCCTCGAGGCATTCGGGCAAGGCAGCGCTGGCAGAAGGTGCTGCGTCCCACCAGTCCAGAGCCTTCGCCTTGGCTCTTCGGGTCCTGGATGAACGGTGCATCCCGGCAATATGGAACTTGCCGATTCTCCACCATGCCGCTGACGATGTGGACCCGACAACTCTGCCAAAACGCCCTCCAAGTCACTGCCCATTGCTGAGCAGTCTGACGCTGAGGAGGATGTGGTAGATGATGAAACGGACTGGACTGCATCGTCCTCCTTGGGCTCAGGCGGTGTGGCATTGTCCAGCTCCTCCTCTTTCACCTGTCCTTCCGTCGCTGCCACCGGCAGAGCCGCCGCCGCCTCGGCACCTTCAGGTGAGGGGGACCATCCTGGGTCCAGTTCCTAAGGCTGCCTCCAGCGGGCCAAAGCTCTCATTCATTTGGGCGAGCTCCTGCCAGGTCCAGGCGTCACGGGCCACGAGACCCTTGGGCATTGAGGGCTAACTCCGGCAGTTTGCGGCGCAGCAAGTGCATGAACCTCTGGATCAGGGCGCGTTTGACTGCCGCAGAGTGAATCACCCGTTGACCAGCGTAGCGCACGCCCATAGACCATGTAGCCTTGCTCTTCCGCACAGGTTGGGGCCCTCTTGCCAACTGCCTGTTGGTTATAGATGGCTGCAAGCCCCATGGTCGGCAAGAACCGGCGCGGGCTTGAGCATGGTCGACATTCATAGTGAGGAGGGCGCCACGGAGCAACTCCAGATACCGGCCTCTGGACATCTTGCGGTCAATGAGCCAGGCTGTGCTTTCAGTGACCTCCCAGAATTCATCAGCGCTCAGCTGCAGCGAGGGCCACAAGAAGTTCCGTGCCGGGTCCAGCTCAACAGTCACGAAGTCCCGCGCGATACGCCGTAAACTGCATCATGAGGCCTTGAAACTCAAGCTCAGGCATGGCCCATTTCCTTTCTTTCCTAGAAGCGAGGAGTCCCTTGGCGCCGACATCTTGCCAGCATTTTCAAACAAGGCCTTAAAAAGGGAGGCCCCTCCAGCGGATGTATGAAATGGTGACGCTCCTCTGTTCAATCACAAGCCTCATGGCCTGATTGTGTGTTGCTGGTGACCACAAGCAGGTGCACTCCACTAAACCCTGTCAAAAGCCTTCCTAGAAGCGCGGGGAAAAACACACAGATGTACACTGCGAGCGGAAAGCGTGTCTGCGCATGTGGTTGCGCCGCTTGCGCCACCGGCGCCGCCTGCGCCACTTGCGCCGTTTGCGCCACCTGCGCCGCTTGCGCCGATTGCATCTTCTGCGCCGCCTGCGCCGTCTGCGCCGTCTGCGCTGTCTGCGCCACCTGCGCCGCTTGCGCCGCTGGCGCCGTTTGCGCCGCCTGCGCCGCTTGCGCCGTTTGCGCCGCCTGCACCGCCTGCGCCGCCTGCGCCGCCTGCGCCGTTTGCGCCGCTTGCGCCGCCTGCGCCACTTGCGCCACCTGCGCTTCTGCGCCGCTTGCGGTGCCTCTGACACCCTTTCACACGCGACGCTCGGCGTGCGCTCGAGCGCCAGAGGACCAGCGCTGCGGGCGTGCACTCGATCGTTGGACAGAACAACAACCTCCTCAAGGCTGGCGCGTTGAAAAACGCAAGAAACTGGGGCGGAGGGATTGGGTCTCTGAGTTAGAGTACGAAGATGGCACATATACAATTGACAGCTGCAAGCAGCAGCCCAAGCTACTTCAACCTTTTCTACCGGCACGCTGGTCTACCGGTGAGAACGGTGTAAGCCTTGCGCTTAAGCAGTCAATCCCACGTACCGACCAAGACCTTTCAGGTCACAGCGTTAGTAAAAGCTAGTTCCTGATTCGAAAATGAAAATGTCCGTTGGGAGCGCGAAAAGTCGAAAGCTCAAAAAATTGATTTTTGCTTTCGGACACATCCGAAAAGGAAAAGAAAAACATCCGAAAAGTTGAAAAGTTCATTTTGTCTCGGGCCCAATCGAAAAGTCACAAATTCCGAAAAGTCGAAAAATCCGAAAAAGTCGAAAAGTCAAAAACGAACGAATCCAGTGTCCTTTCCAATGTAAGTCACTAAGTCACGCTGAGTCACGGGCGACAAAGAACCTTCCATGGACCCTTCTACTTTAGAAACATTGAAAATTTCAACAAACATTGCATGGTTGGGCGTTCGGACCGCCAGTCTAAGGCGTCAGAAAGAATTAGACGTTAAGGTGGTTCTGGCGCTTCCAGCCTGGGAGTTTCGAATGACACTCTTGAGAGCGGTTATCCTCCTTGCAAAATGGCTGCGGTTTCCTGAAGAAGTGCCAGAAAAACGACATTGCACGATGGAGCGGATGGAGCGCATGGAGCAGATGGTGCGGATGAAGCGGATGGTGCGGATGGAGAGGATGGAGCGGAGCGCATGGAGCAGATGGTGCGGATGAAGCGGATGGTGCGGATGGAGCGGATGGTGCGGATGGAGCGGATGGTGCGGATGGAGCGGATGGAGCGGATGGTGCGGATGGCGCGGATGGAGCGGATGGAGCGGATGGAGCGGATGGTGCGGATGGAGCGGATGGAGCGGATGGAGCGGATGGAGCGGTTGGAGCGGAAGACGCTGATCCCTCTCGCAATGTACAGATGTACGTATATATATATATATATACGTATAATCTGTCCCTTGCAAATATGGTCAAGGTAAAGCAATCGAGGGGGCCTTTATTTCCTAAGACTCTTGTAGCGACAACGACAAAGTGTAGTTGTGAGTAGTAATGAAAAAGATCCAACCCAAAGTATGACCTCCCGTTTCCAAAGGATAAAAGTGATTCCTGGCCAATCACTGCCCACACCTGTGATATCGGCGGGGGACAATCAAAGGCTGTAGCATCCTAGCAATCTTGTCCTTGGTTTCCAACTGCGAGTATGGAGAACGAATGGCTTTGTCAAAGGTCTGGAACGATAGATCCGAGATGCGAGCCGCAGGCAAACCTCGGCTTGCCTAATGCTATCTTTGATGTATACTCGACTCTACATGCTCATGTAGAGAGAGAGAGAGTGAGAGAGATGGGAAAATAGACAGATCGTTCATGCATGCAAAAAGGATCACACAGAATCTACAAAGGCTATTGCTCAAAGTCCCAGTCTCGACAAACAAATGCTCAGAAGCTCTGCACTCTTGCCAAGCAAACCAAGTTTTCGCCGCCTCGCGTCGCATCCTCTGGCTGCAAAGCACCGCAGCCCGGCGCCTCTGATGGAAATGGAGCTGCCAAGCAGAGCAAACCCGGAGCAACCTCAGTGGAAAGGCCTTGCTCTGGTCCTGCAGCATCTTTCGGACACAACGCCAAAAGAGGTCCATTCCAGATCCCTCACATTGAGTGGAGCTCTTTTTCGGTGTGCAAAGTAATGAAAATGTTCCATCACCAGAGAATGCTGTGGCAAGGCACAGCCCATGCTGATACCTCAAGAATTGCGCTCGGACCTTCCCGCGACAGGAATGCAAATGCCATGCCCGGAAAAGCTGCCGCCGGATGGATCGGGTAAAAGACTTGCACCGTTGACCTGAGAAGAAGGGAAAGTACATTGGGAGCACAAGTAGAGACTCCAGAACACATCAGGAGATTCAAGATCTTTGAGCCCTTAAGCAGGTTTGCAAAGGCCTGCCTGCTTCAAAGTCTCAGGCTTCTTTGGACCTGCGACCTGTTGGTTTCAGAGGCGCAGCTCGTGCCCCCGCAAAAAAGGAATTCCCCAAGTTCATGACCAGAGCAATGGAAAGGCTCAGCTACAAGGTTTTGAGCCACTCAGGAATTATACATGGAATTACCTTCTTTTCTTCAGCCTCCAACACCTGGGTGCCCACACGTTCAGCCTTGACCTCTTGCGTACAGCTTCTCCAGGCGCCAAAGCAAAGCGACAAAGCTCTCGCTGCACTCCTGGGTCTCCCATGGTCTCCCCACATCACATCCAGTCTCCCAGTGTCCGTGACGTCCCCAATATGTTCCCCGCCATGTAACTGGAGTCAACGCCGAGAAAAACAGGCAAAGGGATCAATGGCTGAAAATCCGGATGGTGACCATCGGAAAACAGAAAACTTCGGTGGCCCCGATTCATCCGCGGAAGGAGCTGCCAGCGCTGCCAACACCGCAAAAGGATGAATCCTTGGTAGGTCAAGCTGAGAGCCATTGCCAATAACCACTCGACATATCCGACATTTGTGTCCACTTTTAGCTATATCCTGTAGCTGGGGTGAGGAATTGGCGCATGGAATTCGCACCTCACCGACTGTCAGCTTTCAGGCCTACCAGTAGTCCAATGAAACCCAACTACCGACTGTCGATGGTGCCTGTCACAAACCTCTTTGTCCCAAACACAAAAGGCATCCGAAAGCATCCAAAGATGTCTGGACACGCTGTCAAGTGGTGAATTGTGCAGCACGCTGTCAACCAGCTGTTGGTTTAGCCATGCAAAAACCGCCTTCCAGTCAAGAAGATCCCATTCGTCACACCCCTTCGACTCAACAGAAAATCCAGCTTCTGTTGCAGCGTCGGTGATCCATGAACACTTGCCGCAGCTGCTGCCAGGACCGGAGGTGCCGCAGGGTGCGCTTGACCGACAGGGCTTCTTCCTGCCCGCGCGAAGCGGTGACAAGGGGATGAGAACGCAGCCCAGTAGGTCTTCTTGGATCACTAAACTTGCGCCAAGAATCAACTGCCAAGGTCCGATGCCTTCTCTGAAGGCAAGCTCCAAGCCACGCATAGAAGACTTCGCTTGCCGAAGCTTGGAGCATGGCGCCAGTGTCATTCAAATCCAGACTTCCAGCGTCATTCAAACCTTCCTTCGGTGGCATGAACGCAGTGCTGATTTGTGGAGTTTCGTGCTGAGACGAACTTGGAAAAGCAGAAGGTGACTGTAGTCTGTGACCAAGTCCTGCCAACACAGGGGTGCTTGGATGCACTAGATTGACGACATCTGAACGTAACTTCATAGGACTAAGAGCTGCAGGTTTTGCCTTGGTTTCACCTTGCTTCAATTTCACTTCCGAGAGTTTCCATTCCTCGATCCTTCAGGTCTCTTGCTGAAGCTCACCTCCTCAAATGTCTTCACAACTTTTCGAAGTTCTTTAAGCTTGTGAGCTTGCAGTGAGATCTCTGCATCGGTCTTTGTGATCTCGGGGGAGTCGAAGATCGCGATCGGGGAGGCTCCCAATGAGAGGCCACTGAAATCCGAGAGGGTGCGATTCACATCATCTGGGGCCTCAAGGCAAGTCATCACTTTGACGAAGCATAATTATTCATGATCATGACCAGTAGAAAAAGCTCTCAAACGCTTGGCAAAATCGGAAGGATTCTATGATTCTAACAGAACTGGGCAGATTTCTTTGGCTGGATTCGCCTGGGTATCCTTGCTCACCTCTTCAGTGCTTGCAGAGATCTCCAGCAAATCCATTGATGCTTCGCACATCTCTGGTGAGGCGCCAAATCGCCAGGCATCAAAAGCATCTTCGCACAAGTGTTTCTCTGCGCTCTGAGTTCTGTGAACCACCTCTATCCAGGGAACCATGTTTGGCAAGAATCACCACAAACGCCTAGGTTTCAGTTAGATGATGTTAGATTGATTTAATTGACTTCAAACGTCAAAGCACCGCGGTTCCTGCGTATTTTGGCCAGTGGTGCCACCTGGTAGCGGCAGGAAGTCCATGCCGTCCAGGCTCGCCTCAACCGACACCGGCCGGCGCTGCTCAGTTCGTCGCGTCGCAGCAGGAAGGTCGAGACCAGGAGGCCGTGATGCCACGAACGAAACGACCATCGCAACAACCGAGGCCATTCGTCCGACCGCCTTCTCCGGACGTGTCTTCTCTCGAATTGGAGCCTCTTCCAATACCTTGCTGCACAATGGTCGAAGGCAAACACGAAGGAAATTATACAAGCATAGACCCCAAACAGTTTCAAAGCGATTCGTTTAGACCAATATCAGTCAAAAATCGATTTCTTGGTGCGCCCTACTTTCACCCCAAGAGCAAACTGTTTCATCAATGAATTTTTGTCGGCATTGACATCGCTATTTGTTCGGCCACACTCCTCTCCAGTAAGAGACCAGCCACAGAGTTCAGGGGCGCGGCCAAGACAAGGACAAGAGGAGGACAAGACCCGGACACAGAGCCGGGCCACAGAGCCCAGCCACAGAGTTCAGGGGCGCGGCCAAAACAAGGACAAGAGGAGGACAAGAAGAGGACAAGGCCCAGCCACAGAGCCCAGCACAGAGGACAAGAAGAAGACAAGACCCCAGTAAGCCGTCCATAGCACATGAGCACGCGCGCCTTCGCTCTGCTCTCTCTCTCTCTCTCTAAGTGTCTCTTTCTCTGTCTTTCTCTTTGCACAGCGCGCTCTGACCGCGCCTTTCTGGAGCGTGAGCGCGCCCGTCCATAGCACACAAGCGCGCGCTCGCCCTGCTGTCTTTCTTTCTTTATCTATTTCTTTCTTTTTTCCTTCCTTCCTTCCTTCCTTCCTTCCTTCCTCCCTCCCTTGCTTGCTTGCTTGCTTGCTTGCTCGCTCGCTCGCTCGCTCTCTTTCTTTCTTTCTTTCTTTCTTTCTTTCTTTCTTTCTTTCTTTCTTTCT